TTTATGATTAATACAAGCAGCTCTTTTACACTGCACCAAAAAATATGTGTAAGATGATGCCTTTGAAGAACAAAAATGAGGTTTGGATAATTTACTAGAGCCTGCCTGTTCTAGTATCTGAGGCCGTAAACAGAAGGGTGATCCCAGTGCTGCTTTCCAATTTGACAGTTTATTTTTATTCTGTCTAGGAAACAAAGCTTTGGGGCCCTGCTCTTGTCCTTCCCCAGCATTCCCAGTATTGCTGCCAAAGGAAAACACTCTCAGGTGCTTGGATTTGTAAAGATCCCACACAAAGACTACATATTTATATAGATGTTAGTATCTATGAGCAATATAATTACAGCCCACTAATTTGTTTTAAAACTACAATTTGCATTTTATGACTTTCAAATCACAAAGAAGACTTTTAACACAATTGTTTATATAATGCCCTACTTGCATGCTGGTGGGTTAATAGGCTATTTTAGATCAGGTTGTAATATTAATATTGCTCTCATTACTTTTTTTTTTCTTGTCAATCGAGTTTTTTTTAAAGCTTTCCAAAGAACAAAACATTTTAAATAACTTTAAAGGTTAAAAATATTCTCTCTGCCAGTGTATTTTCTGTGTTCCTAACGTAGAAATTTTTTTTTGGTATGTTCTAACTTGTTAAAGGTAGGTATTGACTTTGAGAATGGTTAAGAAATCTTTAGTTTATCAATAGCTTTACCTGAAATTTATGCATTAACCTTGCTAAGAAAACCCCAAATGATACCTACACACTTTACCTAGCCCTTTCCTCAGTGCCTTTCCATCTCTCTCACCTTTTAGCCCTCTAGCCTTAACTCAGTTCTGTCATGACTTATTTATTCTTTCCTACTACAGACATTTTGCTGAACTCCTCTCTTCACAGACCAAGCTCTGTTCTAGAGGACAGGGATATGCTGGTACATAAAAGGTGATCCCTTTTGGGTTACATTTAATTGTGTGATAAATCCTGTCATGGAGAGAGGTACAAAGTGCTTTGGTGGTACAGGATTTTAAAAAGTCAATTCTGCTTGGGCATTATAGAAGATTTAGGAGAAGACGGCATACACACAGCCCCCAACTTATGATAGCTAAAGTGATACGCATTCACTAGAAACTGTACTTCAAAATTTGAATTTTGATCAGCAAAATTTTCCTGAGCTAGCACTATGCAGTACAACACTCTCTTGTGATGCTTGATAGTGGCAGCGAGATGATTTTGCCCAACTGTAGCTAATGTATGTGTCCTAACGTTTTCGGTGGGCTAGGCTAAGACATGATGTTTGGCAGATTAGGTGTATTATTTGCACTGTCCACGTACAGTATTTTCAACATGCAATGGGTTTATCAGGACATAACCCAATTGTAAGTTGAGGAGCATCTGTATTGAACTGGATTGACAAAGAGCAGGGGAGCTGGGGGTGAGTGTCCAGGTGGAAGGAATAGTTTTAATCATTCTTGGTCCAGAGACCGATGGACATCTTTATTTCCTGTTTCATTCCTCCTAAGCAGTGTAACCAAAAGTACTATGGCATAACCCTCCATCAGCTGTAATACTCTCCTGCATTTTGAACTGATAATGTGAGTTAGGTGTTCCTTTCAAAAGGAACAATGAGCCACCTAAGATAGAAGGTCATTAGGGTAGGGTGCTGCCTAGTTATACTTGGCTGGCCGCACCTTGGAGACTCTCTGCGGGGGAGGTCATGTACATTTCATCTTTCTTAGTTCTCTTATCAAGACTTATGGTACATAAAAAACTGCTTTGTTTGAGGTATTTGATTGTGGAGAGTGTTATTTTTTCCCCTCAAAATTGATTTAGTTGTGGTTAAGGGGGGAAACTGAAGAGGCAGCTCTCACAGAGATTATATTTTCAAAGAGGTTCAAACTCTACAAAGAAAATTACTGTAGAAAGAAGCTGTCTAGCTAAGAGTCTTTATGTCCTTGAATTTCATCCTCAAGAACACTTATCTTGGAAAATGACTTGACTGGTCAAAGGCATCATTATAGGAAGAAGGTGGGAACAGGCACTAGGTTAAAACATTTCAAGTTATGACTGGAATAAAAGAAATGGTAACTATTAAAAGTTGGTCTTTTAAAAGGATCCCTCTAAAATGCTGGCCACCATTTAATAAAGATGATCATTTAAAAATGTTGCTGTTGCTGTAAATATAAACACCGGCGCGGAGAGAAACCATACACGTGGTGCTTCCCGTCGGTGCCGCAGAG